CTTCTGCGTCGGAAAATAGAAGAAGAGGATTTTGATATTCTCAGAATAAATAAACCAAATATTTTTCTGCATGAGCACGTGTTCTTTCTATAATTTAACCTAAGTTCTTGCGTTATCTCAGTCTGCAAAATGTACGTCATGATTTATATTGAAGGTTTATTAAAATGTAAGTGGTTTAATGCTTTATTTATTAAATCCAATCGTTTATAGAAAGCAGTTGATGAGCTGGTCTGAACTCTTGACGCTCAAACCTAAGTCCAAAATCAAAAAGATGAATTCGATTTGTTTGCGCACTAAATGCAGCTATAACAGCTACGAAACACAGTTGCTTTACGCATGAATCAAACACCCTTTTAAAGGTTGAAAATTGCATACAATCGTTTGATAAAAATACCTATTGACCAACAGGGTTCAATGTCTGACGTAGTTGTTACTGTTAGTTTGTTTTATTTATCATCTTTTTAGTTTAACAATGTACTTCTTCTTTGTTAAACATGCAATACAATTCAAATAAACTAACGATTTCTCTTTTCCAGTGGATAATTCAACAAATCTTTTTCCAGCATTAGAAGTTCACTTGATTTCTTTCCAACTCTAAAGCAGAAGACAGATGTGGTACGATGATTTTCTCTGCTTACTTTTGTAGTTTATTTTCTTTTGTTTCATCATCATCGACTTTTGCTGGTCCATTATGTTTACTACTTTCATCTTGTTTCCTACTGCATGAAAAAAGGAAAAAATCACAAGTGACGGTGCTTTCGTCAGATACTAGCCACGGTCGTTCTGAATGTCGGTCCTTGACACTTCCCGCCTTTATAAATATTCATTTTTTGTCTAGTAGTATTTTTAATTGTTTTTTAAAAGCACAATTTTTGAGGAGACAGAAGTTAGAATCCTATTCTCTATATTATACCATCCATGACAGAAAATAATTCTTCTTTGGTGAAATGAAAGCTAATTATCGCTTCAGATATAAATAAAGTGTATTATCCGTGCATGTTGTTTTTATGAAAAATAATTGCTTATATTACTAAATAAAAAACAAAATTTGGCTTACATTAATAGAAGCCGACAAATGTCTTAGACGAACACAACCAAGCATTACTTTAAACTTGTGTTCCAGAAATAGCAGTTGAAATATGTCTCATAATGAAGACCTTTTTCTCTATCCCTCTAGTCTACTCACATTTTCTCTTCTTGTTCTTTCTGTTGTTTTGCTTCTCTTGTTTCGATTTCTAATTCTTTCAACTCTTCTCATAATTCTTCACTATCCACACTTGATAATGAGGTAAACGAGGCATCACTTGTTTCGTCATGTAAAAAACCACAAATCCAAGTAAGACATCTTGTGAAGTATCTAGATATTTTGTTGTGTTATTGGGCAATCCTACTGTGAAATATCTAGGTACAGGTGTCTCTTTTATTGGGTTATCTAGATATATTGGGCATGGTATTGCCCAATACCACAATAAAATATCTAAATATTTCCATATACGATTTTTTGCTGAAGTGTTAAGTAAGGCGCGCGTAATAGATTACGCGTGTGTTCGTCTAAGACATTTGTCGGCTTTTATATGAAACAACTAACCCTGCATCCTCGAGTGATTTAGATGGTAGACGAAGAAAAAGAAGAAAAAAGGAGAATGAAAAGGAAAAAAAGAAGCACAAAGAACACATGTATCAACATTTTCACCGAGATTGACCTCAACAAACATATACACCAAAAAGAAAAAAGAAAAAGGAAGAAAAGAACGATCATAAAAGAAAGAAGATAACATGACTAATAACAATTTAAGATTTAAGTCATTCCGTCCCACTTACTTTCAACTCGTTTCATCGTTCTACTACTAATTGAATCTCGAAGAAAGACAAATCCCATACGAGTAGTGACACGTTTTTTTTTCTTCACCATTCAATTTATTTCGAGTTTCATGAAATAGTTTAAGAGTTTCAGGAGTCAAATCTTTAGTAATAGTTATGCCAGTGTTTTGTTTCTTTAAATGACCAAGAGATGAAACAACTGCATGACGATCAAATCGAGAAATAAATCGCACAACAATAGCCGGCGATCGAGTTGAAGCAGATGATGTTGCTTGATTTAACGAAGAACGAGAGCGATGACAATATTCAATATTATTTTCTAACTGAACACCAAGGGTATTTTCGAAAAAGTCATATAGCCAATCACGTAAAGTAATATTATTTTCGTTTTGAATAAGTCGGACACCATACACGCGAAGGCAAAAAGAACGACTATATCGTTGTGCTTCTTCAATATCCGAATCATGAGATTTAATCTTGGTCTCGACAACATCAACTCGTTCATTCAGTTTAGAAATGGCCAAAGCAAAATCATTTTGTACTACATTAACCACCTGTTCTACTTGCAATGCTTGATTATTGTCTTCTGCTGTCTTAGCCATAGCAGCGATTTGACTCAAAAGAGATGGGTCTCGTTGGAAGAGATCGAAAAGTGTAGATCGAGCTTGATCCAATTCTTCGTTTTTTAATTTCTTATTATCAATTGGCGAAGAGTCACCTGATGAAAGAGGATGTTTCGCCGAGGTGGAAGAAACTAAAACCGAATTTGATTCCATTGACATTGAAAAATAAAATAATAAGAGGTCAACCAGGTGGCACTTAGTTGTATATGATCGTCATGAAAAACATCGTAGTGGTCAATCAGAAGGAAGCTCGGTCAAACCGTGTATATAATCTTAATATGTGAATATAATATAGCGGATCTTCCGGATCTTTCCTTGTATAGGTGGGCAAAAGAGCAGAGCTTTTTTATTTCGTGATACGCTTTTGTAAAATTTTATTTTTAATCAAGACTTTGATATAAAGACACATGTGATAGATCAATGAATGACTGAAAACTGAAAATTCGAGTGTAGTGTGTGGAATTCCGCGATATTTTGCTGTAGGTTTTCCAGAGACCCTCCAATGACCAGCTCAAAAACCTTGAAATGACTTGCAGCAGATTCGTCATCGTTTTTAAGGTATATACCATGACTTTGACGCGATTTGAACGGAAATTCAAGGTTTTAGGAAAAAATCACTTAGCCGATTTTGGGCAAATGTTTATTTTTTCTTCCTACGCTGAAGAACAAATTCAAAAATGTACACATATAACTTTATTTTAAATTTCATAGCGAATCTTATGGCGAAAGAATCAGGTCGCTAGTTCACAACCGTAAGGACTTGATGTTTTTGCGAGATCGATGGGTCGAACTTCGAGTTCCGCCGGTTGAACCTCTTGATATGTTTTTTAGTTTCTGCTGAAAAACTTTAAAACACAGTTTTCTAGATTGACTTTTCGATGTAGAATCTGAAAATATCAGTTAAAAAAAGTTAAAATGCAATCTGAAATGGCTACAGCACATTTTCTGAAAAGATGTGTTTTTCGTGTTTTTGACCCGAGCTCAGTCTTTCGGGTCTTTCTCCCTAAAGATGATATTTTTTTAAACTCGGACGGCGATATTCGTGATCAGCACACTTTGCTCTATCAGAATATATCTATTTGAATTAAAAATAAAAATGCGTGGTAACTTTGAATTACGCGCGGCTTATGTGTTTCAATGTATTCATCGTCTAGTGGTCTACAATATATAAAGAATGATTGTAAACATCTAGAATATAGTTTGAACTCCTTACTTGATGAAATCACAATCCACAGGTACTGGTTCTTTTGCTGTTCGTTTTTCATGTGGAAACACGCCAACATTAACAACATTTGCTAATAAAGACTCGTAGTACAACATCAAACTTTTGATCCAAACTTAGTAACATCATACTGGGCTGTCGTTGTTTTTCATTTTCAAATCGTTTAGCGTCTGACTCTAAAATTGAAAAAAAGAAAACTAAGAACTTTGTGTTTTATCACTGAAGAAATGTTTCGAATGTCGATCTGGCTCTTTCACTCAATGAAGATTTTTGAACTTTTATCCTACTTTAACTTGTAGAGTATTTCATCGTATGATAGAGATAAAATGTGCTGTACATTCCTACTTCATAGATAAAATGTACGTAAAACATTGTGATGATGGAAAACATTATGAAATGCTCACTTTCTTCTCGACTTATAACCAATTCATCATCGTCGTCTTTTCCATTTTCATCACCAAACATTTCACCACCAATGCATTTTTGTCAAATAGTAACGATAATCTGATTGCCCTCTTGATTTAACGCTGCCGGTTGCATGCACAGCTAATCTGTAGTTCTATTAAAGAGAAAAGAAACTGTCGGTGTTTCTCTCCCTATCCTTTCTCTACTTACGGTTCTCCTAAGTTTGGAATAGCGAACTGAGAAGAAAAAAAATGAAAGAATTATCGAAGAAGATGAAGAAGAAGAAGAAAAGTAAGAAACGGTAGTGATGATGACGAATTGTGAAGAAAAACGGGATAACCGATTATTGTAATTTTAAATTGTGAGCTAAAATGTTTTTTGCTGTATTTTTAATATTTTGTTACTTAGGAAAACATTTTTATCAAGAATTCCAAGGCTTTATAAACCGGTTTCGAGAGACATGAACACAAACCACCAAGAAATATATATCAGTGATTATTTTTTCGTATAAACAAGGTCAAGAGTCAGCAGAAAATGACGCGCGGATTTGGAGTATGACGTTATTATCTCAAACAAACCTCTGATGACTGAAAAGAAACTAAACATTTGAACTAGCTTCCAAGACGACTGGTACTAGGCAAACTTCAATCTTCAATTGTCGGCTTTAAAAAATGGGCTTAATACTACGATGGGGGGATATTTCTTAAAAGGATGATATCCAGTATGTACACCTCCTCTGCGCAAACCTTTTATTGTGTGAACTGTTATACAAACTGACTTATACACGCATGAATTGAACCTACCGTCATGCGTGTAATTTGAACGTTGACGCCTAGAGTGTAAACAAAAGATTTTTAATTACAGAACAAAAAGAAAATGAGAGTAATTTTTTTCTTCGTCTTTCCACCACACTGTAACAGGTAACAGAAAAAGATGAAACTTCCACGTAGACATGTGATCGATTTTAACCGTCAGTTTCTCTCTTTTTTGTCTTCTTTTTTGTGTTATGTGTGTGTCTATAAGTTGTTTATTCTCTTCCTCCCCCTCTCACAATCGTAACGCTAAAGTGAAGTTAGTATGCCATTAGTAATTTCAAATAAAAAAGCATTTGAAAATTTTTTTCGTTGATTTGTACTAACTAAGCTATTAATACAACACGCGTTATTCAATTTTCTTTTTTTATTTCATTTGACTTTTACGAATATTGATTGATCTTTGATGACAACTAACTCGTGTAACTAACTTCAATATTACTCAAAAATATTTTCGCCTCAGACAGAGATATTAGTCAAACCGATAGTGTCACTACCGCTAGGAAATTGCGACAAAAGCCGGAAGTATTACCTTAATATTTTTAAGTATAGGCGAAATAATATGACATTCGGTTCCATTTGCTTTCTTACTAGTAATCTAGCTGAAAATCAAGCATATGCATCAGAGACCGAAACGGTTCAACCAAGCGTGACCCGAACCCGACCCAAATCAATATCTTATACATTGGCCCGAACCCGATGCAACTCGAAGTGAGTTGATCCGATCCGAACGTGCAACCCGAAAATTTTGCAACTGTGATCCGAACTAGTCCCGAACCATAAAAATGTTTTCGTACACTTCGCAAAGAAACACTTCTAGAAAAGTTATCTTAGTCAGATTGTTTTCAAATTTTTTAAAAAAATGGTCAAATGCCTTACGGTTTCCGTCATTTTTCCTTTTATGAGTGGAAAATTTGAGTAATTCAGGCAGTTTATTTTATATTGACCTGAGTTAGATCTAAACGGGTCAACCAAACACGAACCGAACCTAATCCGACCCGAATCAATATATTTACGTTAGTTCGAACCCAATCCGACCGGACTCAAGCCGACCCGTTTCGATCTCTGACATGCACTGCGTTTCCAGCATAAAGAAATACCAGATAATAATGAATTTCATCCCGAACATCATGTGATTGCTATTAAAGATCAATCAAGATTCATAAAAGTTATATGGAATAAAAAGTTAAAACTGAATAACGCGTGTTGTACTAAACGCTTAGTTAATGGTTGGAAATTGAAAGATGCAGAATTCTCCGATCTAACCACTAACTCTGTGTATAACAGTCGATAGTGCTGGTATCGAAGGAAATTTACCCGTCGTTGGTATTATATCATCCAAATATACGCAAGTTACTTGAAAAAATATACAGTATATCGGAACAATCTTTCCCAACGTCTGATGAATAATCCAGCCTGGAAGACATATAAAAATTAAATGAGGTGTAAACATTCGTAAAGCGGCATTTCTAAGGCAAATAGAATTTTTTTTATAGAACTGGGAAAACAAAAACAGGGAAAATAGTGCTACCGTCTATTCTACAAAATAATATCTGAAATTTGTTGGTAGAGCAGTTGGAAATAAGTATTTGTAAATCGAATATAGAACTGCTATGAATAACATGACTTTCAATCTTGAAAATACTTTATTCGAGCTTTCGCCAGCTTTCAGTTGGCATCA